TCTCCAAATGGGGCTATTTCCCTTCGTAGAGCCCTGAAATAAGGTCAGTAGCCTTAGGCATCCGTTCGAAAAGTAGCCCTGAAATGTGAATTTTTAGATTTTTTGTAGATTTTTTTTTGCTGACCACAAATGGATATCCACTTTGGTCCCTTAAAGATTTATCCACATTTGGTTCTTGATCAATTCCCAGCCAGTGTCAGAAGAATGCTGAGGAGGTGAAGTGGTTGAAAGGTTACTGCGAGGTCACCACTGAGTATCTATTAATGAGAATGCATTATCCTATTTCAGGAGTCCTAGCATATGCAAAATAAATTACAATTCCTAACAATTTCTCTTGCAAAGCACATATCTTTTAATATTCTGGGTTATTTTTTCACCTCTAAGTTAAACTGATCACTGGGATCTCCATGTGGAAATTCGTGAAGCTAATGAGGAAAAAAGTTTTCGAAAAATTTAAAAATTTCCGAAAATTTTCGCAACGTTATATCTCAATTCGACACTTTTTTGAAATACATGATTTTCGGCCTGGATTTCGTCTTTCATATATAAAAAGCAGTGATACCACTGACACGAAATACCCGCGCTAATTGCCCGGCAGTCTTGGTATTCATGATAGATATTTTTTACAAAATTACAACTAAAATAAAGAGTATCTCTTACCATCGAGTACTTTGAGATCATCACGTTGTGTCCTCAATCCCTCATCATCCGATAATCTTTTCCTATAAATAAGCGGGTCGTTACCGGCAAAATCCGAAACCGTCCCCGTGTAAATTTCATTCGTATCAGCTATATACACCGCTGTTGAATTATGACGAGGATCGTAAGGAGATATGGCCTGAAATACAAAAACTAATGAAATCAGAACATTAAAATCCTGAAAAATTTATGACAGCAATAAACCAAAAAACGAAATTATTTTATGGAAAATAGAAAAATTGGAGAAATGATGGAAATCAAAAAAATGCAACTAAGAAAATGATCTGGTCATAGGACGACAATATTGAACAAAGTGACCTATTGAGACGATATTGAGCAAGTACTGGAAAGACCGTCAACGGGGTGAAGAGATCCATTATTTTAAAGCTCATGTGGAGTTGCGTGAATGCCAATTGGCCCAGAAAGGGGCAGAATGAAAAAATTACCAGACGCAATAAAGAAAAGAAGGAGCACGACGATGAAACAATAGTTCATCAAATTATATGTTTGACGACATTTTCCAGGACTTTTAAATGAAGAAAAGAGTTTTACTCAAATTTTTGAGGTTGACCCTTGCAGAATTAGTTCATTTTTTTTTCTTTTTTTACAAAAATTAGTATTCGGTCTCAGTTAGCCAAGCTCCATAAAAGCCCAAAAAGCTGCATTAAGTTCACCTGTCCATCAAACTGCCGCCTTTGTTGGAGCATTCGATCATCATTGGAATACACATATTCTCGACATTTTGGTGAATAAGCATGCGTACCACAAATCAAACTTCGTCCATTCGATTGGCGTACCATAACGCGAATGTAATTATGGCACTCCCACTGTAATACAGCAGTTTATCACATAGAATGCAGTAACTTTTTCATAACTGGATTGTCATTTCATGGCTATATAGGGCAAAAAGACTCCTGCTTCTAGAAAAGCAACATGCAGAATACCATTGAGACCACGTAGGAATGTAAAAATCAATAAGTGGGCCATGTTTCACCCCTCGTCGACAAATAGTGGACGTCACGCATTAGTGACTGGTACTGAAATAAAGAACTTGTCCCCCTACCCCTGTTCCCAGTTCTTATCCCCAGGCAAGTTTTCAACTTTTTTCCCGTCAATATCCCAGTCTCGCCTCTGTTACGAGCCCTGAAGTCAAATCCAGCATCTTCGGTTTCTCCTCTCACCTATCTACTTCTTCCTCATTCCACCACCGGCCAAGGCACGTAGCAATCGTCGCAGTTCCTCCCGTGCTCTCTTCCCTTTTTAAATTTATCCGCATAGTAGAATCCAAAAAAATTACCCGGCTTTTGCCTTTCATCAAACAGTCCTCGATTTTTTGTCCCGGTGGCGCCCATTCCAGTACCTGTAAATTGCGCAATACATATCCAGTGTTCAGTTATGTAACTGGCAACTTTTCCATTTGCTTTGACCAATGCTACACAGCCTGGTGATCAGTTTGCTGGCGATCCTAACATTCGTTTTCAAAATGCAGCTGATCTAAGTATCATAGTAATATTCGAAAATTTCTCAGACTTTTAGTGTGCCCAACTCTGGTGTTTTTCATGGGTGATGAACTTCACAAGTTAGAAGTTTCCAACTTTGACTCATAAGTCGGCGCTTTTAATTCTTAGTGCTTTTCCCATTAATTAATTTCCTAGCATTGCTATCATGTAAAATTCGGCTGCACCGATCCCATTATGATTCGTTCGTTTGCTTCGATGACAAGTGGTACTGCCATATGCCAAAACAACCAAATTCGCTATCAGCTTGCTTGTAAGCATCTCTCCGAAGACAGGTCCACCAGCAACTTTGCCATTATATGGCTGCTGTTGACATTTACTACCTATCGAATACACTGCAGTTCCTCAGCACCCTGTAGGCAGCGAAGGGAGTTTTGCTGTCTTCAGAATACAAAGGGAGTTTGGACTTTGAAACCTGACTTTAATTTCTTGGACATCACGGTTGTTCATACCACAGTACGGTTATTCCAGTTAAATATTTATGTAATTTTACAGAAAATTTTGAAAAATTTCAATTTTGAATACCCCAGCAATGTTTTCTTAGAGATTAGCAGCTGCTTCAGCTCCTCAACAACGACATCTGGAAGCCTCATGGGACTTGTTTAGAACTTAATGGAGTCTAAACACAACAGCACTATCATCCATAATTTTAAAAAAAATTTGTTGATTAGGTGCCAGCCAATCCTCAAAGGACCTTTGCGGCAGATTTCAAAGTTTTGCGAAAATTTCCAACAATTCTGGACGAAACTATGTTGATGCTAATTTTAGCGAAGAAAATTTGAATTTTCACGACGGTTTTTGATGGGTATCAAAACATCTAAAAGTAAACTGTTTAATGCACTTTTTTATTTGAAGATAGAAATTTCAGGAATTCTATTTTTTTTAGACCAAATTTTGTTCAAACATTAAAAATACTGCTCCTTTAAAAAAAAATGACTTACGTGTTGTACTTGTAAATTTGCCATTGATAAATTGTAAGCTGTATCCCTGCAAAATGAGTGAAATTTATAAAAAATTCGTCACATAAAATTTACATTCTGTAAGAAGAAGACTTAGCTTCCAAACAAGGATTAAATGAACTGGAATCGATGATATCTCAAAATCTTGGAACTGGTCCATCAAAAATTCATAATGAAGGAAAACAAAGTTATCAAATTGCTTTTCCCACAATGTACTTTTGAGTTTTTACCAAAGTTATTTTGTACATAATCCTAGAAAATCCAGCCATAACCTTTCATCCCGAAAAGCTCATAAACAACTGCACGATGCTTTCTTTATTTTTACTCGCTAAATCAGTTTTCTCTCAATTAAGTTAACTCATTTCGAAATATAGATACAGTAAAATGACGGCTGTGTGAACTTGAAGAAGTCACAGCCTTGTAATTATATTTCGAGATGAGCTGCCAAATTTTTGGCTGGTGGAATTCTGTGGATGAGAAAGGCTCAAAAGAGAGAAAAATGGAGAAGTTGCCAGCTGCGCCAATGGCGAGAAGAAACGCAACGATGAAATAGCAGCTGATCAAAATATCAAAAATTCTTGAAATATCAAAGCTTTATTTATTTTTCATTCGGCATTTTATCAATTACATTCATCACCAGTCCAGATGGCCTTGTTGAATGATTTATCGCCTACAAAATCACAATTTTTCCTCATGACTTATTCCTTAAGTGCTGTTTTGCTCTTCCACTTCGTCTAATGATGACCTTCACACTTGTCACTTTCGGCACTTAACGCTCATTAACGACCTCACACATTTGCCGTATATTCCAGAACTTATGACGGCAAGCGTCAGGAAGCCGAAATGCATCCGCATACATAGCTTGAATGGCAGGCATTTCAAACACTAAAATAAGTTGGGGGGACAATGGACAGTGAAATGACCACATCAGGTTTGATTAGCTGCAATTCACAGCTATGCACCTGGCAATTTTTCCAGTTGGTTTGACCGCTTGGCGGAAAGTTCACTGGCGATTTTGCCATTTTTTTCGTTAAAAGCAGCCACAAAGGTGAATGGGCTCATTATGACGAATATAAGTGTTGTAGAAATTTTTTTTTAAGGAAATAAACAGTGAATATTCCTTGCAAGGAGACTGGAAGAGAACGGGAGCCAAATTTTAATAATTCAACACTTATGGCTTTAAGGATTTTGGCTCGAAAAATTGGCTCAAAAAAATTTCCTCCAAAATTTGTTTTTTTTTCCTGATAAGAAAAAGTGGACAAAAGGAGCGAATATCCTTAAGTCAGCTTCGTGAGGTATGTGGTTATGGCTCAGTGACATCCTGAGCCCTGGTAACTCCTTTCGATGGAAATTTACTTAAACGCACGGCCTTGCCAAACTAATGGACAAAAAAGAATTATTTAATTAAGTTTGAAAGTACCATTCCTTTTCCACCTCACACTTCTCAGTCCATTACCCCTCACTCCCTTCCAGTGCCTCGCCCCTCAACAAGCTGCATCGCCAAACACTCTTCTTCTTGCCTTGTCCCACTTGCGTGACATATGTAGCATAGCACAATGCCTTTTTCCATTCATTCAGCAACTAAGTTATGATAATGGAACTGATGTTTCGAGATACATTGGGACAATTGACCAGTGACCTTCATCATCATCATCTTCACCGGACAGCAGCAGTGGGGCAATGCCAGTCAAATGACCAATGCATACATTTCATGGCTATTTCATTTGGTGGTCATTACGAACGCACACACATACTGCCTTTTTCAACAGTCGAGAAAATTCAAATATTCGAAATCTGTATTCATTCTGTGTAGGAGGAAAACACTGAAAGTTTTTTCAGCGGATGGTTGCTGTTGGTAGATACTAGGGTAGTTCAGGCTATTTCCAAAACCTCTGTTTCCAATACAAAGGAACTGTGCAGAAGTTAGGAGTATGTTACATAACTAGTTCTCAAAAAACAGGAAGGCAGCAAGACACCAAGTTCATCGATAGGCTGATTAAAGAATTACTAAAAAGTGAATTATTTTAGCTTATCTTAATCATGAAAAAAAATGCCAGCTAAATTATGCTAGAATTATGGAGTTTGGCACATTCATGCGTCCAAAGAATAGCAATATCTCCAGGCTGATACGGTAATTAATTCGACTGTTTTAACAGACATGAGCAAAATTACACCATTTTAGTACAAGTGTTAATATAATTATTAATAATAATATTTTAATGTTGGAAGAAGAAAGCTCGTAGTGTTAAGAAATTAACAGAACTTGAAATATGTTGTAAAATATATTATAATGGCAAGAAATGTTTCGGTCCAATAAGTCACATACATTTCTTACCGTTACCACAACTGGACCTCTTCAGTACTATGATTGTGGTAATTAACATGAATTCGAGTTTAATCTAAATAGTTATATTATTGAAACTAGTACAGGTAAAGTAGTTAAAGCAGTCGGATTAATCAGCGCTGTCGTACGGGGAACTACACTTTAAACCTCACTTGTTAACGCCATTGCGATTGAAGTTACACGTCAAACGTCATTTGTGTAAATGTCTTATAATTATTATAATTATGCATTCTAAATGCTGCCATTTTTTGCACAATTTTCGATTGTCTGTAAAGTTGCTTTTTTTGAGACATAATTATAAAAGCCATAAAAAAACTAAAATGCTGAAAGTCAGCTTGTTTATCACTCTTGGTTGTTGTAGATGACTCATGGCTCTCTTACTTGACTCTTATCACTCTTGATTCTTGTAGAAGTTCAGAATATTCCTCACACGAACCAAGCTTACTAAATTACAGTGACCCAATCCTATTTCTCTCAAAATGCCAAAAAGTAAGAGATCTTGAGCTCCCGAGCATTTCTGGCAAAAACCTGTCAGCGCTAAAAAGCGTCTCACGCGAAGTTGTTTCCTTACACCACAGTTGTTGAGCTGTATTAGTTAGTAGCAGTGATATATGACTGACAAATCTCACTGTCGCATATCAGTAGGGCTGAAGGTACGGGATGCCGTAATTAGAGGGTATAAAAGTTGATGCCTGCCGCGTTACTGCTCGCAAACACATGTTTCCTCGCTCATCCGTAGAATGCCAACAGGAAAGATGACCTTTTCCTATTCTTTTTTTGGCGAAACTGAGACAATAGCACTCTTCCTGGACCATACATTATTCGAAATGCTATAAGTTAGCTCGAAAAACCAATAATACCAAGACCGCTTGGACAATCGGTATTGGGTGCCATGCAAATGATGCTATTGTGAAGATGCTTCAGGTATAGCTATGTCAGGTCTTTCGAATTTGTATTACACATAAGCAGCACAATACTGA